GCGGGACGCGTCCTTCCTACATGTGAGGATAATGGAGAGATAGTTGCTTATTTCAAAGAACTCTTAAAGCCTGGTATGTTCTCTTTTAATCGTGTCATATTCACCAATAATACCGAATACTTACTTATTCATGTGCTTTTCTTTCCTGCTTCTTATCGTCAAACCCGCCCCAAAAACACATTCGCGTTATCGTAGAGCAATCTGTTTCTGGTAAGTGAGTCGTAATAAATTTATACAATGTGACCTTGCTGGGTTTTTCGTTACCCATTTTTTCGTTTTATTATGTGACATCGAATATATAATCTTTTTATTTACTGCTCCTTATCCTCAAAACCCCCAACACAGAAGTTGGGAAAAAAATCATTGATGCTTTTCCTGGAGGTATGTATTAGGCAATTTCTGCAAAAAAACTCGTCGTTCTTATGCTGAGGCCGATCGGACGTACTATTTATATGCCAGGGTTGCCATATGTGAAACCAAAACCTTTGCTTTACACTTCTGGTGTTAATTGGGAATATCAACCTGACCCATCTTTGGAGCAGATTTTGCGAAAGGAGCTTAAAAATCATCATGAAAATTTTATTTTAGGGCGTTTTGACAAATTGAACCTTCCACTATATCTCTTCCTTTCTGGAGCTGGTACCGGAAAATCTCGAAACGCTAATGAATTCCACCAGACGGCAATCACATGTTTGTCAGCTCAAGAAGATAAGGCGCTGTTGACTAGGATTAAAGAAGCTTGGGTATTCCTTATTAGCTTTGAGAATGGCTTCTCCTTACGATTAGTTGAATCCGACCCTTATCATGCCATTGGTACTCGTATGCTATCTCAACTTCTCAGAGAGAAAATGACGCTTAATAAAATTATCGAGACATACGAGCCACCAGATCCGTTGGATGTTGTGACGTTGATTGCCAAACATTATAACCGAAACTTGAAAGACATTACAGTCATTTTGGTTGTTGACGGCATGCAACAACTTATGCAGAACAAAGATGATGGTTTAAAGTTAGATTCTCGGTTTTACATGACTATGACATCTGTCGCTGATCTTGCATTTAGTGGCATTTTCGTGATATCCGTTTGCACCTCAACTATCACTGGGCCGATTGATGGTATGTGGAAATATTCAAGGCGGAAACGTGTATACCTACCGGTCACCTCTCTACAGCCCCCAAGCTATCGAAAAGGAGATAGTTTGGTCCCAGTCTTTAAAAATGATGAGATTTCTAATATTCTCGTGGAAGACTGTGGAGGGCATGGAAGGGCTCTAGAAGTTCTGAATGAATGCTTGGCTGGTCATAGCATTGAAGAATGCAACGTCAATACTTTGATGAATGATCTGCGCCATAACCTTACTGAAAGATACGGTGATGATATTTTTGGTTCTGTTAAAGATGCTAGGCCAATCGCACGAGCAATATTGACTCGACGTCTCTTAGATAGATATAAACCTATTCCCAAAACTAACAAAACACCAGACGAATTTGTTGGAAGTGGATTGATTCGATTCGAACCATTAAAAAGTAGTAGGCAAAGGGGATTTATCACTGCACCATACATCTGGCTTTGGATATTTGTGGAGATTTCTCGTGAAGGAGGGGATCCATTACTTCGAGATTGGGAATTTGATGATTATGGGGAGCAAAGAGCACTTCTGAATCCAATAACATCATTGCAACCTAAGTCATGGCAGAGTTTTGAAAGATTTGTTGCGTCATTTCGTTGTATAAAGTCAGCCGTAATTGAAGAGGATGAACTAATAAACATCTCAGAGGTTCACGGAGGAGCACGTTTGAATGGTGATATCGAATTTAAAAACCACAATCTACGACTTGAAATTGCAAAACACCATACAGACACAAAATCTAAAAATCTCACTGCAAACGTTGAATGCTATAATTCCACCGTTGATGTCCGACAGTTCAAACATTGTATCATTAATGCCCCAACTTCACCATATGGAGATTCATTCCTTTCATTAGATCAACCGGGTACCGAGAGTCCGAATGAAGTCCACCAATTTAAATTACGAAAAAAAGCGGTCAGTAAAAAGGAGTACCAAGAGGAACGTGAAAAATCAGCATCGGAAAATGATTTTTTCATCCTCTTTACAACTGCAAATTGCAACATTGAAATTCCGAAAAGGTCTGGAATTGTAGATAAAAATACCTTTACGAGCTATTTTGGACCATTTGCTGGAAGAGCATACAGATCCGCTATAGCCAATAATAATAAAGTCAAAAGCATCCATACCGTTTCCCTTGGACAAATGTGCAACGTGAATCAAATTAGCAAAGAACAAGCGAATGCAAAAACAAGGATACCTATGAAGAATTTTTATTTCCCAAAAGGACTTTACATGATTTCTCGCATTTTGCCTCGATTAATGTGATAGAGGATTATACATATAGAAATTTGTAATTATTTTTTGTTGTTGCCTCATGTTATTCTTGTAATGATTTTTAATGTACTGCAATAAGGTTAGTAAAATTACCGCCTATTTCAAACAATAAATTTCATGCGACTAGATTTTCTTACAATCTTACTTTTGGCAAAAAGTGATCGGTGTTCCGGCACGTGATTTTGTTAATTTGTATTTTGTTTAAAAAATGAAGATTGATGGATCAAGAGAATACTAAAATAAGCGGTATATTTTCATTTCCTACTTCGAAAATGCGGGTTAGTTCAGTATCCACAAAAACTATACTATATCGAGTGAACAGTACGTATTTGTAATCATTGTTGAATTGGTGATACGAACAAAGATCGGTGATATTTTATTAGCTGAAGCTAGCATGGCTATGTATTATTACCTTGTTGCTTATTCACGTCCCGGAGTTAACAAGACGAAAACAAATGGTCGTGGCCTAATTAAAAGATCTTGCCGACGTAAAGTGTAGGGTTACCCATTGCTCTGCAATAAAAAGTTCTGGCAATTTCTGGTCCTTTACCTCCCAGTCCATAAATAAATTCTGGTCTGATTTTTTTATAAAAAGGTCGAGGAATTCTTTGATGTATCCTTCACGAACTAAGGGGATAAAACAATTAACAAATCATATCCACGATAATAAAAAATTCATACTCTCAAGACAATATCCCCGCCTTTTTGCCCCGCCAATTCATTACATTCATTGTCGGGATAAATATATGAATCAACGTGTCGTTATCCATTGCTCTTAACACATTATCTTTTTCCGAACATGAGAGGAAAAAGCCTCGAAGCCAGAAAAATAGGAATTTCTGTTAATGTATGTCGACATCCCCACATTCGTGTATATATGCTAACGAATATTTTTCCGGTTATAGATGTCATCGCTTATTGTTTCGGGGATCAATCCATTTTTGTATTTCGCCGGTCTATTTATGTTCGTAGAGAAAATCTCTATGTACTTGTCGGTGCCACGTATTTTTCCTTTTTTCTCTCATGTTCGAAAAAAGATATATAGTTATCTGATTGAAGATAGGGACAAAGTCCCATTGCTATGCAATAATATATTGATAACTACAATAATCTGGCTTCGACATATATGTGAGAAGACGGGCATAATTCCGGCCTTTCTACACGTGATACAATTAATAAAATTCTTACGATGTCATACTTATATTGTAAGAAGATTCATAAATTTTTCTTTACATTGGTACCCGTTAAAGCTTGTATTATGCTCTTGATTAATCCTGGTCGCAATGCCATCCCAAAATCTGATTCGATTCCTTCCAAGATTATGATATTCATCATTTCTGTTTCTACGCTCATCGATAAGTATACGGATTTGAGCATCTGTCCATTCAACCATTTTTCGATGTTTAGGTTCGATAGAGATTTTTTTTTGCTTTGTTTTATAGCGGAGCTAGTGTCTATGACACATAAGTATATTTCCGACTAACATAACCACACTTCAACAGTACTTTAACCATACTTTAACCGTACTTTAACCGCACTTTCCATATTATATTACGATATATGTACTTGGTACTAGCTCCGCTATTGTATAATTAATTATTTTACCAACCGCACTTCAACCGCACTTAGACCATACTTTAACTCGTGTAAATCCGAAAATCCTGATTTATTATCTATGGACGATCCTGAAAGAGCTTTATTTAATCGAATTTTACAGCCAATTAAATCACGATATTATGTGTAGCCTCACCGGGTTTTTATTTTTTAACTGATTGACGAAGTGTATGCGCATCGGTGTGTGCTTGTTTTAAATGTCAAAAATAAATTGCTAATTGAGCGCATATATTTAATAATAAACCGTAAAGTTTGGAAATGCCATCTAAGGATTTAATATTTTTTGTACGAAATTCTAGTATAGCTCTGCTAGGTCGCATTTGTGTTGATAAGAGGGTTACGTAGCTATTTGTGATCTCCTCCATTAATAAATCATTAAAAATTATAATATTTTTTTAGAATAATATACAAATGTTTAGAGAATTAAGAACAGGTGCGACTCAATTATCACCCGAAGCAATTAGTGATATAATTACTGCTAAGGGTACCGCAAATGTATTACAAATATTAGCTAAGAAATATAATATATCTTACACACGAATTCGTGAAATATGAAAATTTGTTATTGCGATAAATAATCTCTTATAATCGATTCAACCAATATATATATACATTTCTCTCATTTTTATTACAAATATCTTCACAAAATATGACGAATATGCAAAGTATAGAGTCTCTGACTCATATAACATTCTTGAAGAGATGGTTTAAAACCCAATCTACATTAAAATTGAATCATATTATTCTAGAGTATATAGATCCAAATCCTTAAATCCGATATAATCGCTTAATCACATAATCTCATATAATTAATAAATCACTCATAAAATGGTTGATTTTAGTTGTTTAGTAGCTCATCAGGGTTCTAATTGTTCGGATGAAGAATGGGCTGAATATGTGAAAATGCCACAAGTTTGTACTAATGAAACTCCTAGTGAGTAGATGAAACGGATTTGGGAACATCTTTCATATTTTAGAGAAAATGATCTCTTACCTTATAATAGCAAAAAATATCTTGAAGCTAGAAAGTTAAAAAAATATTGGAGTGATCTTAATAGGCAGAGCCTAGACTCTTTGAGTCATAAATTTTATACAAGTTATGCACCTGAAATTGGTATTGCAATATGTTTCTCTTGCAATCAATTAGTATATATAGGAAAACAAACCAAAAATATAGGTAATTATAATCATATAGGAATGGAGAGGCATTGGGCTTCTCATTGTACTGGAAATTTCTTTTGTGATATAAGTTATGAAGAATATATGAAAATTAAGCAAAAATCCAATTCGGAACATAGTTATGATAATAAGTATGCATTATACTGTTATGAATTGTGGATGCAGAATGCTATCAGAAAAGTTAAACATGCAAGAGAAATCAGTAAGAAAATTCAAGTATATACAATAATACAGCATAAATTCATTGAATATATGTATAAACTCTATAGTCTCTGCACTTCAGAATTAGAATTACATTATCAATTATTATGGGCAGTTCGAAAAGAAATGCATCAAATCAATAATGTATAGGTATTAATATCAATAAAATGATTTATTACCTACATTAATGTGTCAGAGACACTAGCTCTGCTATAACAACATATAATAACATATAACAATATATAACAATATATAACAACATATAACAACATATAACTTATCTATTTATATACTTTATATATTTTTTCACGTTAATTGTTTTTACATCTACTCTAACTACAAATCGGCAGGATGGGACTGAATTCGGGATGATTTATGCTTTGTGGTTTCATTCATATCCATAAGATAAAGTTTCATTTTCTACATATTTATTTTTATGAAAAGGTAATATATATTTCTTAATAATTTGTGACGAATATTTGTTCGCATTTAAGGTTAGACCCTCATTATGTTCTGATTTGTGTTTGTATAAAAAAAACCTATATAGAATCCATATAATAAATATCACTATTATAACAAAGATGCCTAGCTTGATAATTGGAGATAGTTGATACTCATTGTTAACGATAGATTTGTCAGCACCTAATGCCCCTCCTATTATAATATCTTGAATCGAAGGTTCTAGGTTCTGCTTATTCGCAATAATTGGTATTGTTTTGTTTTTTTTTATTACTAGATCATTTATTACATTGGATATATCATTAGTTGAAGTCTTCTGGCTAGTTTGAGAAGTATCTATTTTTTCTACCTGTTCTATTTTCTTTTTACTTACAAGATACTTCGTGAGACTTTTTGATTCAGATGTGTCTTCAGAATTTGATATATTTTTTATTGCAAAAACAATAGGGCTCTGCCCTTCATCACTTCCATTAATCATTATAGAGCAATGATCCAAATAGTCTACAGATTCTGATATAACCTGTGATTTCAGATGTTTCAATTTAGCTTCAACATGTTCCAATTCGGTTATTTTAGATTTGAGAGATATAATCTCAGAATCTTTTTTCGATAAATCTTTTTGAATGGAAAATGCATCCTTCTAAGCTAATGCCAACTTACCTTCTAATATCTTAAACATCGACTAAAGTGATATTATTTCTTTCGATTGAATGTCATACTTGGCTTTATACTCGACATTGGAAATCTGTGATTGGGTAAGTTGGGATATTAAAATATTTAACTCTGACCTCAATTGCTTAATCTCTTCTATAAGTTGGTAAACATGTTTAGAAAGTTTTTTTTTATCTTTATTTGACTGATTTAGATCCTTTTGTATACGCTTATTGTCTTTATACAAGATAGTGCATTTATTAACAAGTCGATTACCACATTCTATAGCAATTTCTCGATCTTGATTTGCATAAACAAGTTGATTTTCAAGTTCAGCTCGACTAGCTGGATATCGATTGTATGGTATGTCTCCGAGTTTTTTGCCTTCACCTATATCTGATAATGTATGGATTCGAGTCATATTATCTATTTATTATAGATATCTAAAAAATTAATATATTTGTATTTTGAATATAATATATGATATAGATAGAATATACGTATTAGATAGAATATATGTATTAGATAGAATATACATATTAGTTATAATGTATTAGATCGAATATATATGTTATATAAAAAAAAAATGAATAATATTATTCTATATATTCTGTATATTCTATATATTCTATCTTTCCAATATATTTTATTATTTCGATATATTTTATATTTTTTATTAGATATAAACATCTTATATTTACTGCTATGCCTAGAATACATATATGATCTGATGCACCCCTATTTTCTCAAGAAGATTATTCTTATATTATGCAATGTCATGATATAAAACCAAGATATAAAATTTTAAATGACTTGATAGGTAAGTATAAAACATCAACAAAACGTATTTATCAGATTTGGAAAGGAGAAGAAACTAATAGAGTTCTCTGGAATCAACCTATGCCTCACAATGATGACTCTAATCAAAATTTAAATATTTTGCATAATGCACAAAATGTACAAGTACAGTCTAGTATATCCAGCCATGATGTGTCTACCTCTGACAAAAATTCATCTAATATAAATGATACAATTTACTCTAAAGTTTCACTAGATAAATCAGTAGAGACAACACAACCAAAGATAAGTCAAAGACTCGAAGCTCAGCTTTCTCAAGATTCTACTTCCTCACGTGTGGTAAAAAAAAATGTCTCTTCTGATAGGGACAAAGTCACATTGCAAAGTAATAATATATTTAGAAGGAAAAACAATCTTGAAAAATTAATAAAAGATACTGAAAAATTAGCTCCTATGCTCCCATCTTTGTCTCAGTAAGCTGAAAACATCTTTCTGCAAGAACTTTTCCTGCGTTTAAAGCCATATCAAGCCACTCTTCAGTTTTTATGAGTTGCTTTTCAAGTTTTTTATATCTTTCACAATTTACGTATTTTTTTTTACCTCTGACGTCTATAATTTTTCTGTATTAAATGCATTGCGTAATTCTTTGCGAGTAGAAAGAGGAATTATAATAGTCTTTCCATTGTGTGTAGCTTTGAATTCTCCTTTCACTATTGGATCCTATCCAACACGATGTTGCCATTTTGTACCAAGTATCATTATAGATATGTCTTTTCCATTTCGATTCTTTTTTGTAGGGATTACAGATATTTCTTTTTCAGAAACTATTATAAAATCTTCTTCAGTGCCTATAGTTATAGGAACATTATACAAAGTACCGATAGATTGGAAATCTTCAACTGCGCCAATAAGTTTATAAATATTTTTTTTATCTATTTTTATTCCTAAATACTCAGAAATGTTATCAGTATATAATGAATCATTTGCACCGGTATCTAGAATTACATAAGGTATTATCAAGTCACCTATTCTACATAAAATCATTGCTACATCATTAGGTTCTTTTATATCGAGAAAATCAATCTCAAAAGGGTTAGGCCAATTTTGTCTTATTTGTGCTCCTTGATATACTTTAATAGCATGATTTAATGTAATGGAATTGTCAAGTTTTTCTGATGGAGATATAAGCTCATAATCACAATTTGTTTCTTTGTGACTCGAAGAGTTTGAAGTCTGGTCCTTAATAATTTCAATAAGTGGTTGGAAAATAGTTAGATATTTTTTCGCAATAATATCCCATATCTTATTTCTTTCTTTGATTGTATACTTTTCACTATAATATAAATCAAATTGATCCTTCATTTTTATAAACAGATTATTAAGAAATACATGAACTTCAATGAGAATCTCCTTAGGACAATGAGGTATTAATTCAGATATCATATATTTAAGAAATTCAAGAAATACTTTCTGTTCCAAAGTAATGATAGATTTTTTCTTAATAGAAGACTTTTTCTTTACAGGAATCCGACTTTTTTTTTTGTATTAAAATATAATTGTATATTATCATTATCATTATCATTATCAGAGGTGATCTCTTCTTCCTCCTCAGAATCTAAGTTATCTTCCAATATCATCACCTCCTCATCATCTGAATTTTCTGGTTCACTTTGATAAACATTATTAACTTTTTTAAGTTTCTTAATAAGACCGGGACACATATTTTTTCTATGCCCAATTTTTTCACAATTTGAGCATTTATAAGTAACTTTAATAGGCTTCTTTGTTAGCTTTTTTGCAAACTTCTTTACCAGCTTCTTTGTATTATATACTTTTTTTGAAGTTTTGATACTTACTTCACTATCTTGACCAAAAGGTTCTTTTTTAAAATTATAATTTGCATGTCCTAATCTATTATATAATTCATAATCGACAAATTTTATTAAATCATTAAGATCTCGTGATCCATAATTTGAATAACCTAATCTTTCGGCAATAGTATCCAAATAATTTAATGCCTTATTTTTTTGTGGAAATTGATTTATAGGAATACTATTGTTTTCTTTTTCAAAATTACTTGTTGGTCCTCCAGACTCTAACCAAATAATTCTTAATTGCATAAAGAAGTCATTTACAGTATTTGGATTTGCTATTCTGATTCGTGTTTCTAATCTAGGAGGTAAATGATCATAAAGATATAGCAATACTTCTGCATCATCAATACCTAATACATAAGGTCTAATTCTTTTTTCATAAGTATCAATTGTATCTAATGAAGTGAATTTTTCATTTATAAGAGCTTTTAAAGATGCTCGTTGATTTCCAATCATTGTTTTTTGATATTTACCTTGCATCCAGTTATAAACTTCTGCTTCTGTAACAATATTCGCATTAGCATTATAGGGGTTTTATGCTGGAACTGGAAAAAATCTACCTGTCATTTTACTTTTCATGATATTTGCTCTTTCTGTGGCATTAAAAGTGGCAACACCTAAAGGTCTGGCTGTTTCATTTAACACTCTAAGCTTTGCATAATAAGTATGTGATGGTTCTTGTCCATCATAATCTGGTAATATAGCCAGTCGTGGTGAAATTATATGCATGACATCTTGTATGGCAGCCATATTAATTGGATTTGCTAATGGATTATTTTGTAATATAAAAATTTGTTGACGTAAATTATTAATTATTTGTCTGATATTATAGGTTTTATTTTTCCATTTTTCATACCTTACTATAAGTTGATCTTGCCAATATTCTAATATTGTTCCATTATTATGACATTGTTGTAACTGCTGTTTCAATTTCTGATTTACTCATTTATTCAGAAGCTGTAATGCAAATTGTTTATGCAATAATGAATTAATACGTCTATCTTTTTGAGTTTTAATATAGATAGCATTCAACTTCCAAAAATTGCAAGATTTTTCTTTATCTTTTACATGATTTTGTAAAGTACCACATTCTTGTATAAGTTGATGATTATGGTTTTGCAAAGTAATACCATCCTGTGTAAGCTGGTTGATATGATCTTGTTAAAGTGTATCAAGCTGTCTATATCTGTTAATATCCTGTTGTAACTGTAATATTTGATCATCTCGATTATTTCGTTGGGTAATAACATTATCTATATCCTGATACATAGATTGATAATTATGACGAATAGTATTTAAAGAACCTCTAATGCCATTTATAATATTGATAGGATTGTTTAATGATATTCCAATGTTTCTAAAATGATTTTCAATGCAATTTAAACCTCGATCAATTTGTATAATAGGATCAAGATTTGCCATATCAGTGTTTTGCTCTTTTAAAAATTAAGTATATGAATTTGACGAGCTTTTTTTTTTTGATGAAATAATTTTTATTATAAATAAGATGAGTAATCCTAGTATTGTTATAATCCTTTAGAATCTTGAAAATTTGATATATCTATCAATTTACAAAAAATCTATTATCATTCTTCCAGTTATCAAAGGACTAGTAAAAAACTTTATCAAGTTGCACATAATGCTGGTTTTGATTTTACATTAGATGAAGTAGAGAAATGGCTTGAAAGACAATTATTACATCTAATTCATAAACTGGTTCCAAAATATATTCCTTGTGCTAGTTTTAATAAAATTACTATTCCAATGAAAGTTATACAAGTCAATTTGTGTCATATGCCTCATGATAAAGTTGGAAATAAAATATATAAATATGCTTTAACATGCGTTGATATAGTAAGTCGAACCAAGTGGGTTTGTCCTTTAACTAATCGAGATTCTGATAGTGTTGCTAAAGGATTTATAACACTTTATAAATTTCATAACTTACCTCTTAAACAAATAAAGATATTGCAAATGGATTTTGGTTCTGAATTTTATGGAAAGTGTGAAGAATTAATGAATAAGTATAATATAAAAATTAATCGAAGTAAATCAAAAAAAAGACAAGATATAGTTGAAAGATTTAATCGAACTTTACAAGAGTGGGCATTCTTTATTCAAGATGATTATTACCTTTATCAGAACGAAGTAGAGCTTGGATTATAGATCTACCTATATTTCTTGAAAAACTTGATAATACTGTAACTTGTTTAATAGGTATATCTCCTGTCGAAGCTAGAAAAAAGAAATTTGTATATGCTAAAGCCTCAAAGCCAAGATATGGACCTGTGGGTTATGAGGAAATTCGATTAACATATAATGATTCTGTTTTATATTTACTTAAACCTGGTGAATTAGAAGGTAGAAGAAAAAGAGCTACTGATTGTAATTGGTCTCCTCAGATTTATCGTATTAAGAGATCATTGATATAAAAAAATCAACCGGTTTTATACTAGATTGAAGATATTGATGGAAATGGACCAAAGCGATCTTTTGTTAGAGAAGAATTAATGATAGTTAAGAATATTGAATATCCACCTCAGAGAATATTTAAGACTTAAAAAAAATATCAGCTTCTTTATTGATTTTATTATTAATGAGAAATGAATCTATGCCTTGGCATGAGCTCCACTTTATATCATTTTGAATATTTGATAAATATCTATTTATACATAGAAAAGATATTTTATATATTCGAATATATCTTCTTCAAAATTATATGAGTCCAATGGGTTTCCATAATTATCTTCTTCAATATTGGACAATATCGCATTTCTAATTCTTTTACTGAAAACCATATTTTTATTTAATAAATACTTTTCTACTTTTATGAGCTCATCAAATATTATTAATGCATTATTACCTATGGACTCAATTTTATTATCCAAAAACAATAAAATTTCTTCTTCATCATTAATATGTATATTAATTTTTCTATAGCATCTGTCTAGTTTTTCCAATAAATCATAGTATTTTGTATTAAAGTTTTTATGTCTCTTATAAAGTTCATAACAAATTTCTTTATACCAAGTATGATTAATTTGAATACAGTTATCTAGATTTTCTAATGGAAGTTTTGAGACAATTTCAGCAATAATCTCTGAAAGTGTAAGTGGGTTATATGTATACATGTTGTGTATTCTCAAACATATGGATTTTATTAACTAAGACTTTTTATTTAATAGATAATTAATGGAGCTAACTGAAAAAAAATAAAAGATGACAAAAACAGTGGTAAACCTAAAAAGTGAATGACTTGCTTTTCTACATTAAGCAAATATAATTTATTAAATAAAAAAATATTATGTAGTGAAAGCAAAGAAGTATGATTAATAAACATATGAATATAGGGATGTCTAATATCTAAGAATTAAATAAATTATCTACTTCTTCTTCAATATCGTTATTATTAAGAAGTGAATCTATTTCAGATTGAATATTTTCTAATGATTTAAAATGTGATTTAGCTAGTTTATAATACATAGTATTAAGGTTTTCAATGGCTTTTAATAATCGTGATTTATATCTATACCATTGACGATATTGCTCTTTCATTTCTATATATTTTTCTTTATTTGGAAATTTTGTAATAGCACAAGTTACAATATATTCTTCAGGTTCTTCAGTACTTTTTAAAGTAATATATTGTTTTTTATAGCTTTGAATAAATTTTCCATTTTTTGGTTTATTATAAAATACAGCCATTGTAACGATTTATTTTATAGCTTTTTCAATATCTTGCCAAGATGGCATTAATACTTGATTGATATTTTGAGTAGATGACATTTGAATAAGTAATATACTTTGATGATATAAGTGATAGAAGACCAGTAATTGTATTAATATAGCAGATCTTTTGTTTAAATTGAAATTATACATATTCATATTTATATACCATGCTAGAAGAATATACTTGTGACTATTTGCATAACTCCGGCAAAATTTGTGGATGTAGATGTTGACGCCCTGAAGGGTGTTTTGATCATTGGAAGTCAAAAAAACGTTATTCTTGTATTGTTTGCAGAAAGCCAACTAGTGCAGAATCTGGATTATGTAGAGCTCATGCTAATGTATATTATGTTATGAAATGTTTATATGGTTTTGATTATGTTCAAAGGTATATAACCAATTTATATCAAAAAATTTTATACCAATGAAAATGTGGCGAGAAATAAAAATCTATCATCATTGAAATTTAAATTTAAAAAAAGTATTAAGTGATTCTAGATATATAATTTTGAACACCAAAAAAAAACTATATAAATTGATATAAAATATAACTAAAAAGGCTTAAAAAGAATTAAAAAGACCAAATAGTATAAAGGTGTTCAAAAAGTGACCCAGAAGTCCCATTTTTTCTCTACTCTCCTGTCCCCATGGGATTTAGTGGGCATGAGCTTGTGAAACATTTGTATTTGTCTTTGTTGTTTTGAAATGCAAACTGTTAATTAGCTTGGGTAAGTTTGGTCTTACTGAGTCCTAGTATATCTATTTGACTTTCCCAGATTTCTTGGATTAAGATTTCTTGGTCTATCGCACGTGTGATTCCTCTGATGTTGTGAGTATCTATTCGTATTAAGTTGTTGTTGAGGTTGTGCCAGTGTTTTCTTGTTTGAATGTTGTCAGAATTTGAATTTGGATTGTTTAGAAAAAGCTCTTTTTGTTCGTGAAGGAATATAGAAATATCAATGTCTAATTGTTGGTTATATGCTTTTGAGGAGTGTTTTGAGTCGAAGGTATCTGAAATGTGGTTTATTGTGGATCTAGTTATTGGAGATTTTACTGGTTATAGGTTTTTTGGTGATTCGCTTCCTCCAATATAGTTTTGTTACAGAACTAATGTGCCTTTTTAGGAGGAGTAGTAGAGTTTTCCACTGTTTTTGTTTCTTCGATCTTCTAGCCTCGTTAATCTGGTACTGATAGATTCCAATATTGTATGAATTGTATTCCAAGGGATTTGTTCTTTGGATTTGTCATATTTGCCTATTGTTAATTCAGTAAAATGTTGGTTCTTTTTCTCTTTTTTGTTCGAGTTCCTTGGATTGTTTTGGGTTTTCTTTTCTTTAGAGATTGTAAAAGAGCTTGAATTTCTATAAAAATCTGAACAGCTTTCTTCTCTTGTTATGGGGTCTTGTGTTTGGACTTTTGGTTTTTTGTTGGTTCTTTTATGTGTTTTTGCATTGTCTTTAGTGCTCCAACAGGTTTTACTTCCAAACAGTTCCATGTGCAATGATAGGGCTTTGTTCAGATCATTTTGGTTTTCGAAACCTATAATAGCGAAGTTTTTTCTTTTGCCAGTTTTGCTATTAAGTGAGATATGTACTGTTTTGACCTTTAGGTGCTTTGTTACACTCATTATTTGTGAGGCAGATGTTGATTTTCCAATACCATATAGTCTGGTTGTGATCTCATTGTGTACCATGAGAATATCCTGATGGTTTTCTAACGGTGCTAATCTTGCCATTAGGTTATCCAATGGGATTGACCAGATTCTTTTCAGGTTAGTTTCTGTGGATTGGAATGCTACCATAACACTGTTGTAGTTGTTGTTTCCCTTTATGATATTAAGTGATTGGATTTTTTCGTATTTACTGAGGACATCTCATACTTTCTTGGATAAGGTATGTATTGGGATATCCATGAGTATATATTGATCCAATATTGATTCAGTGGTTTCTGAGATTTCTAAGATTTCTGAAGTTTCTGATGTTTCTGAACCTTCTGAAGTTGATGAGCATTCTAATAGTGCT